ACAATTACAAGGAATTTGTTGAAGTTCATGTTTCTTAACCAATGAAAATAAAAATGATTTTTTTGAATTCATGAAAACTCTCATTCTATTTACATATGTTGAAACGATGAGAATATATGTAATTTACCAATCTCAGTATTATTCATTACTTGGAACATGCTACTTATCCCTGGAGAGTGTAAAGGGTTAAATAAAAACCTATTCATATGGTTAATGACTTTGAAAGATATTCTGACAAAGTTCCCATTTTGATATTTTCACACATGGAACTACAGCTAAATCAATTTATGTGCAACCCTCTAACCTACGGGAAATGGCTTGTGTTAAATCGTGATGTGGAATGAATCTGGGTTTGCTGTAAATATAGTGAATTTCCACATTATGCTTCATATCTGCTGATTTAAACATTGATAGCTACATTCGAAGAATGAACAAAGGAGCAGTGATAGTTTGATTTTCAGCACTCTTCCAATTAGAAGAGCTATCAGGAGTCATTTACCCCATCCCTCCAAAATGTTTGTTATTAGAGATAATCAGGGTTATTCACTAAAGAGAAAATTCACAGTGAATTTCAAATTTAAGGCCAGAATAGCCTAACTGAAAGCATAACTGACTTAGAGAATGTTTCCAGTTTGCCTACTTTGATCTTAAAGGAACACAACAGGACAATTCACCATGACGTCACAACAATGATAGACATTCTTCCGGGTGGGAAAAGCCACCGCTCATAACATACATACCGCTCATAACATGAGCGTGAGCGGCGGGCTCTTTGCTCCTTGTTCTCATTTTGCTGCCATCCCTGAAGGGGCGCTTCCCTCCTGTCTCCCTGCACTGTGTGGCAGCAGCAGATCTTTGTCTGCTCCGTCTCCCCAGTTAAAGCGCGGGCTGGCCTGTGGCGGACAGGAGGGATGAGTGGTGTGTGGTGACCGGCTGGGCGAGTGTGAGTCGCCAGCTCCGGGGGCTGTCAAGCTGACTGTCGGATGCCCTATATATCCGTGTATCCGCAGGGCCCCGGCCCTTCCCTGGCATCCATTGACAGGCCGCAAAGGGCCGGCTGCCATGATCTTGGCTGGGGGGCTCTGGTCTGCCGGTATGGGGCCCTTGCACTACCATGCTCTCCGCAACGCGAGGCTGGATGTCCGGTTAACCCGTTCAGTGCCAGGGTTAACCTTTTCAGTGCCAAGTGGGTGCCCAGCGCTTTACGGCCTTCTCTGGATCTCTCGAGGTTAACTATATGTCAATACAAAATGTGTGTTACCCTGGCGTGATGGGTTAACCCTTTAATCGCCAGATGGCTCAGCACATGGAGGGATGGTAGTGGTGGTGTTAACCTCTGTCATGTCGGTGATGTGCCTCACGCAGTGCTGGTTAAAGGTCTGCCTGCGGTGAGCTGCGTGTCTGGGGCCCCATCCTGTCCCCGGCTCAGGGAGCAGCACCACAGGATGGATTGGTGAATCATTAACCCCTGTTCGGAGCTACATCCAATGCATGCTGCTACTAAATCACCATTTCGGCTACCTGGCGGTGGTTTGTGACCGGTAACAGGATTCTGGTTCCAGACATGCCTGATAACGTGATTTTACATACCTTTCAGGCCCTGAAGGAAGGCAATGGAGAGCTAGTATTGTGACTGACACTAGGGTGATATAGAGCTAGCCACTCGCGTTCTGCCACCCGCAAGTATCTTGGTGCCTATTGTTTACAAACATTCTGAAATCCCCTATAATGTCAGTAGTACAATCGTGTATTTCTGACACTATAGCTGTAAAAAACATAGTTTAGGTCCCGTTAAAGTGTAAAAGCTGCTTAAACTAACCTTTTTTACAGCGCAGTACTGGTCTCATCACGGCTGACTCCACCTCCACACTTTCTCCTTGGCTGATATCATCAAAATGTATGCTCTGTACCAATCAGCATCTACTTGTAGAGAGGTATTGAATCAAACGTTCAGAGTGTTCAGGCAGTCACTCAGACGGCCACCTCTAGTGGTTGTCTGAGTGACTGCCCATAGAGGTGTTTTTAGACAGCAATACAAACACTGCCTTTTCTCTGAAAAAGTTGTGTTTACATTAAAAAGCCTGCATGGACAGACTATAGACACCAGAACAAACAACTACATTAAACTGTAGTTGTTCTGGTGATGATAGTGTCCCTTTAAATTTGAAAGTCACTTTGAATTCACCTTGAATTCTCACTTTTGCAAATAACTAATAATTCTGACTACATATTTTTACTCTACATCTAAGTTGGTACCATAGGAGAAGAGATTTCTATTTTCTTTAAATCTAAGAATTCCGAACATGTTTCTGATTTGACTAACCTTTCAACCCCATGATTCACAACCATTTTAGCAATTATTTCTACGCCTCTTTTCATCATTATGAATTTATCTGTAAAATACTATCAAACTTCACAGTGTAGATTCACACCGACTCATATACCGAAAGAGGAAATTTGGAACATATTTGTATCTTTTTTTTTTTTGTGTTTTAACATTTTATTGTATTTCAGTACATGTAGATAGAAAACCTGATCAAAGATCACTTTGTACAAGTATTAAAATCAGTTATTCATGGAGTAATTGCTACATGCTAATGTATAAACCGTACCTCTTACCATATCGATGAGGGTCCGTTCAACCCCTCAGGTGACCCTGCACATACGTTCACACACTTAACTTGTGCTATATTCCTCTGTTGGGACAAGCTCCCCCTTTTTAGCTCTTGCCCCCTATTTTACTCCCTTTTCAAAATCCCTCACCTCAATGCTCTCCTAGCATTTCAAAGTTTCTCACTGCAGTTAGATAATGGGTTGTTTTTTTATATTGACTTGTTACTGTCGATTGGTTAATAAAATACTGCATGTTTCATTCGAATGTTAAATTGATACAACCTGGCAATACTAAATTTATTTCTGAATTTTTAATGGTATTTTAAATAATGATTGTCTAAAAAAAATTTCCACTTGACAATAGGATGTTGAGTGATCCAGAAAAAGAGGAGTCTGTGTCAGAATATTCATCAGTATATCACTGTTCACCAATATATCACATATGTGCTAGACAGACTGATATTAATGGAGGTTTCACTTACTGCTATCAACAAAGAGCTACGACTTATATAAAGATTCATCTGTGGCGGATGTTTATCCATCTTGGTATTGCCACTTATAAACTTGTGTGGGGCCACAATATGTTAGCAATGATGCCTACTCCTGTAATGGAATACCCTTGATGTTGTAGTGTTGTTTATCTGTTGAAATTCCAAACAGGGGAGGGCTGGGAACCTTTGTCTTGGCGGCAAGTTGCAAAACCTTATTTGCAACCTTATCATTATTATTTCAACCCATTATCCACTCCATAGCATCTCCATTTGTATTTTGTGAATTTGCTGCCAACAGTACAAGCACAAACAGTTGCATATTCATCTATAATATCCTGGCCTGGCCCTAATTAATTCCTGCTTTCTTCCATTACTGTGCCAATGGATTTAGTGATGGAACTAATATGGAGAGATCCTCCCCTCTAGCTCAAGGGTGGCCAAAAGTTTGATCACTATCTGTCATACAATTCCCAAAATGCTTTGCCCACTGGGGGTCAATTGTTTTACCATCCTTACTGGGTTGTATTTGTGAGCAAGTGTTTGCATATTTGAATGTATGCACATTATTGTATGGAACGTTTATGTGTCAATCTAGGAGGGTGTTCATGTGTAGTGTTGGCATTTGAAAGACGTTGGGTGTTTGTATGTACTGTTGCTATTTGAACACGGTGGTTTACTTGTGTATGATGTTTGCACTTGAATGCAGGAGTGTATTGCTATGCAATGTTGACCTTTGGAATGCATGTATGCATTTGTGTATAATGTTGGTGTTTGAATGAAGAGATGTGTTTGTATGTAATGAAGATTTATACATAGATGTGGGGGGGGTTGTATGCAGTGTTTGTATTTGACTTCAGGAGTGTGTTTGTATGTAGTGCTGGTGAATGAATGCTCTAATATATGGACATATACACATACACTGCCGCACACATACAGTACATACTGACACAGATACACATATAAACACACAGACACATAAATACACATACACACACCGACACATGCACACACATATACACACACACATACAAGTCATAATTTCCATCTTTTTAGCCGCATTCCTGTTTCCATACCTTTTGGGTTCAGACGTGACTAACCTAGGGTCCATTGGGACCTGGCTGAGGCTAATTCCTCCCCCCTTCCTTTTTCTGTCTCTTTCTCTCCCTCCCTGCATGGCACTTGGTTAGCAGTGAGGAAGTGACCCGAACTCACTTCCTCCCATCATTGCGAGTCTGAGAGGGGTGTGGTCACACTGTTAAGAGGCTGCTGTGCATAATTGAGCCCCTGTGCAGGCCCTAAGTGAGTTAGGCACCTAATGGGCTTCTCCATCTTACAAGTACCAGGTACACCAGCCTCATGGGCGATAGTTCCGCTAATTAATGGATAAACCTTCTTGGTGGTGTGCGACTACATAAAAACTACATAAAAGTAAATTAAAACTTTTACAAGCATAATTTGTGAGACTTAACCAAAAATCTCACAATAACAACAAAAAAAGTATACAGCTGGGGGGGGCGTGACCTGACTGCCATGGTGTAGAGTGGCATCTTGTTTGAGATCCTCTCCTATATGGGCACTACAAGACAATTTTAGCTTCATCAAGCTCAAAACTATTCTCACCTAGCGACTCATCTGTATCCCACCCAGACTGCAGCACACTGTGGAGGTCAGAGACACGACAGAAACTCCTCGGCAGCAAATCTGGGTGGGAGAGGCGGATAATCTCCCAGGCCAGAGCTGTTCAACAGCCCTAATCGCTATGCAAGCGCCCCGCAACCCTCCTCCCCCCAGACCGGTGGGGGTGATCCCGGTCCACCCCAGGAAGGCTCACCTAAACTACTGGGCACAGGAGGTGAATCCACTGAGACTGCAGGGATACCTAGTGAGTCACCAAGCATGGCGGACGCCACGTGGCACACCAACTCTGTCGAAGATCAAACCGACCTTCTAACCAGACTCAACAGAGTCTTTGACAAATTCTGGCAGAAACTGAAAAATAGGAAGCATCAAACCACCTCAAAGGAGCCAAAGGATCACTCATCCTTCACAGCATATCGGGCGTCCGCAGCAGACATCCGCGGCCTCGGCAAAGGTCCCAAAATGGCGGCGAAGAAGAAAGCCCTCTTCCCTCCAACAGAAGCCGGCATGCAGACGGAAAACATCCCGAATCAAGGTTCGGCTTCCTAATGAGCCTGAGGACCGTATGCGACTAACAGCCGGACAGTATGCTGAGCTTTTAAAACGGAAGGCACCAACCCTGCCCATTACCCTGACCAGTCTGCCTTTGCTAAGACTTGAGGCACTGCGGTGTTCGCCGCTATTCTGGGACTGTGCTTTCCCCTCAGTTTGCATCAGATGAGCTGAGCTCTTGGACTGAGCACTGAAATGCATATGACCACTCACCTTTCATATCCTCACGGTATCCACTGACACAGCTCTGTCTAACCCTATAAGTTTATTTTACACCGATCCTGTACATGCAGGCCCCTCTTACCACCCCACATGCCTGGGGGCCTCCTCTGGGACTTAAGCTACCCAGTTAAGCATTCTTACATCTCACTACCTAATTCTATCCACCCTAAGTGGCTTAACCATATGCACACAGCATGTTTATCTAATGCCATAATGTTCTTCTCAAGCTATACTGTGTTTATCAATCCTATCATTTTTATCATAAAAATTTGCTAAATTAACTGTATGCCAATTGTGACATGATGTGTTACTACATTGCTCTTTACCTAATGTATACTGTGATCCTTATATTAATAGCAAGCACAACAAAAAGAAAGTTTTTTTTTTTTTTAAAGTATACAGCTGGGGGTGTAGACTTTTATTTTATCGATACATTCAAGATGCTATTCACGGCACTTGGTTCAGAATTATTATTATAATAGACTATTATAATATTCTTATGTAGAAACAAAGTTTTTTGATTGTCAATTGAGATTTATTTGCCTTGTGTATTTATAGAGCTACTAAAAGAGTGTTGAAATTCTTCGGGAATTGAGTGGCCAGAATAACCTATAGCTCTCAGTTGCACCAATTTCCTCCTAAATTTCTTCATTATTAATTCTTTCCTTCAAATTCCTGGATAACCCATTGTAACAATGGTAAATAAATGTATTTATGGAATCAGCATATATATTTCATTACAGCCAGTATATAACACACAAAAATCAGTTCCTACTTCCTACATTTCCCAGAACCACTGTAGTTCCACCAACACCAATGCCTGCATGATCAAAGCCATATCTTATAAGTCATCCTTATTACCAAGGGATGTTACAACTAGGCTACTAGAGTAAAACCCATTACATCTGTATGCGATATGATTAATTCATGTATTTTTAAACAATCTGAATTGCTGCACATATATGCAAATAACATGAACTTAGGAACGCTCAGATTTATGTAGAACCCCTTCTGCTTTTCGATATGAGACATATTTGCCAATTATAGTATTTGCCTGATAGACCTAGGTTGAGTGGGTCCAACTATCTTGCTCTGTGGGATTTCAAGCTTTTCCCCTTCCCTTAAAAAGGATACAAATAAATGTGTACTTCCGAATGTCCTAGTAACCTAGTTATAGTAAGCTTCCTCTGGGCTTACATTCAACTTCTCGAAGATTAATGTAAAAAAGAGAAAGGAATCCATTCTGCTCACTTGAACCTCAGTGAGGCAAACTTTCTCTCCAAGCGGAAATAATAGACAATGTGGTTTCTTTCTGTGACAGATTTTCAAAGAGTTGTGTTGATATATTTATTTTATAAATAACCAAAGTTGCAAAAGTGGTATTCTAAAAAAGAAATATGAGTCTTTGCTCTTATTATAAGATTTTATAATATATACCATGTACATAAAATTTGTAATACATAATAAATATATAGAATTATTAAGAAATGTTCTTGAAGTTTAGCAGAAACCTATATTAGATATAAAAACATCAAGTGACTGTGTGATCTATTTTGAGTAACTTGCTATTGTAAGTAGTTCACTATAGTGGTGGGTGTCATTAGAGTGCTTGGTACAGTGTCTGGATGGATGTGATGCACTTTTTACTAACAGCGGTGGGGCACAAACAAATAACCCTTTATCCATTTTTTTAAAATATGTATTTTATCACCAATCTGTTTCATTGTAAGAAGAGTTAGGCTAAATATTTAATTTGTAAAAGATAACCCATTGCGTGATAATAATTGACAATAAATGAGCAAAACTACTGATGAACACTTATATATATTGCATGTTTAATATATACTTGAAACAATAAGAGAATTTACAAATAGAAAGGTGTGTCATTGCCATGGACACCAACAGAATCTTTTATTTGGTTTCTATAGTGATTGCACCACGTTCAGAACTTTGCCCCACTTCTCAGTTTGGGACATTTTTATAATTCCCCTTGCCATTTTTGTCATAACATTAGGGAGACCATTTTTTAAAGGAACACTATAGCGTTAAGAATACAAACTATATGCCTAATGCTATAGTGTCCCTCTCCTTACTTAGAGTAGCTCCCCCTACCCTGTGGGGCATTATATAAATTAAATAAAAACTTTTTACTCACTTTTTTCCTATGCTGGGGCTCCCTCTGCATTACACTCCTTTCTGCCCTTCCACAATGTCATCGAGGAGGTATGGCCTCCTCCGGGGATGGACCAATCCAGAATTTTTGATAGAGAAGCATTGAGTACCTGATGCCCATGTGCAGTGAGCACCATGCACGCATCCAGGCATCCCAACATGAATTTATTGCATTCAATGCTTTCCTATGAGCTGCCACATCACATGACTGATTTTTACTCAGTCAGTGCCACAGAAGAGCCTCTAGTGGCTGTCATTATTACAGCCACTAGATGCGTGTTTAACCCTTCAAGTTTGCTCCTTCTGCATGATGGCAATGTTTTAACTTAAAGTGCTAAATACACAAGACACCTGTACCCAGACTTCATTGAGATTAAGCGGTCTGGGTAACAATTGTGTCCTTTTAACGTTTTACTGGGAATTTTTTTATTTATTTTTTAAATGTATTCTGCAGGGCTGCATTAAAATGGTTGCTACACACAGCATGTTAACCCCTTATCTATCACCATCTACCCTGTTGAGTTTAAGCTTAGGCACACAGCCTGTTTAGTAAGGTCATAACGTGTTATTCAATTTTAACTGTGTTCCTCTACTTCATTTGTAAAAACAAAAATGTGGGTGACAGGGGGCAGCAAGCTCTATGTACCAGTACCATAAATGTGGTCCAGCCCGCTGGTTCCGCCCGAACGACCTCTGCGGCCTACAAACCTGGCTGGAGTGGGAGAGACGGCCCCTCTCCCACCGAGGCACACAGCAGTGCGGACAAGCAAAGAACCCCGTTCCCCCCTATGGACCGGCGGGAGTAATCCCGTTCCCCACCGACCTGATACACGCCCTTTCATTGATACCTACTGCCCACAATGGTCTGCGACCCAAACAAGGCGGGCCTAGCAACAAGGCCCCACTACCTCTGGCACCTGCACATGTGGACCCTGGCAGAACGATAGTGGAGCACTGCCTCCGACATCTCGACAACTTATTCCAGCGATTCTTGGACCAGCTGAAACAACATCTGGCATCACATATGCCTATTATTGTGACGGAGGTGAGGGGGCATGGTGACGGAGGGCCAAGCAGGCCTCTCTCTGGCAGACTCCTGCACAGAGCACAAGCCACTCATGCTCCCTGCCTATCTAGGTCGAAGCCCATGCAGAGGATAGCTCCATGGCATCACCCATGACTCTGGAAAACCCCCCGCTGATGGTGGCAGCAGAACAGGGTGTTCCACAGCTCCCACAAAGGGAAAGACCCGACCGCACTGCATACCCGAGTCTGTGGATCGTGGATGTGGCCCTTCCTCCTCTCTCTGCCCACACCTCACCGTTGCCCACACCAAGTCTCGTTAACCTGTTTCACTGCCTAGTCTTGGCATTGGCTATCTGTGGACATTGAACGGGCATTACCAGCTGCAGCTTTTCCTGCATAGCCAAGTAACGGCTGCCAACCATTGCTTTCCTCATACATATGGACACTCAAAGTACTCTTATCGTATTATCTTTGCTTAATAGTTTAAGTTCACTTGTGAAGCTTTACATGTGCAAAAAGGGTGACAGTTTGTTGGGTCTTGGGGGCCTATTTAACCTGCATTGTATATTTATCTCCCCCACCAAGTCTTATAAGACTGATTTACTATTTACTGCGCAGCACTACTCCGCTTATAATACACACGAGATGAGCAACTATAGTTTCAGATAGCATTGCGGGTAGAGTACAGCCCGGGGAGCGCCCCAAACATTACGCTAATCTGACATACAGTGGTGGAATTCATTAATCTCAGTGCACAGTGTTAGTTAGGCATAACAGTCTCCATGAATACAGGCTTCATAACATACTTGTCTGTTTCTCAAACTTTGATAAGCCGGGTACTAAAGTTAGACCTGGAAAACTAGCAAGTAATCTCTTCTTACACTGGTGCAGGTTGTCCTAGCTAACATGACTTATCTTGTCCTTAATACCTATTATCACAAGCATATAACGAAACCTATGTACTACGCCAGTACTCCTGCTAATGCCTTACCTACTGTATTCCTACTGGCACCTGTTTTATTTATTTTATATACTTTTATGTTATCTCGCACTCACTTTCAGGCACTTATATATGCCAGTTACTTCGCTATTGTTTAGCGTAAATTGTCTATCCAGGCATATTTGTTGTTATCAAAATTATTTCTACACAAAAATGTGCTGTATACTTGACTGCCCTTTACTGTTGAACTGTGAATACTACTTATCTTGTCACTGCTATCAGGGCAGTGCAAGACTGTTTGTTACTCTGAAGCACAACGAAAATAAAAATTTACAACAACAAAAGAGTGCAGACATATGTGTACACTTATTTTACCTAGACATGTTACCTCGTTGCAATCTATATAATGTATACTGGCTTATCTCTGTTACCACCCAGCACAACAAAAATAAAGAATTACAAAAATAAAATGGTTGCTGTCCGGTTTCAAGCGAATTGCAGTTTGTGTGAATATTGGGCACATGATGGCTCCTTCAAATTCCTAAACTTCAAAACGCTACATGAATGAATCCTGAAATACGCAAAACAGACAATAGACTAAGTTTTGATTGATTCATGATTCAGAGTTCCATCCGCA